GCCAGAAGGGCTGGTCTGAGTATTTCAGAAACTGCTAATCTACTGGGATTTTCACGCACAACCATCTCTAGGGTTTACAGAGAATGGTCCGAAAAAGAAAAAACATCCAGTGAGCGGCAGTTCTGTGGGCGGAAATGCCTTGTTGATGCCAGAGGTCAGAGGAGAATGGCCAGACTGGTTCGAGCTGATAGAAGGGCAACAGTGACTGAAATAACCACTCGTTACAACCGAGGTATGCAGCAAAGCATTTGTGAAGCCACAACACGCACAACATTGAGGCGGATGGGCTACAACAGCAGAAGACTCCACCGGGTACCACTCATCTCCACTAAAAATAGGAAAAAGAGGCTACAATTTGCAAGAGCTCACCAAAATTGAACAGTTGAAGACTGGAAAAATGTTGCCTGGTCTGATGAGTCTCGATTTCTGTTGAGACATTCAGATGTTAGAGTCAGAATTTGGCGTAAACAGAATGAGAACATGGAACCATCATGCCTTGTTACCACTGTGCAGGCTGGTGGTGGTGGTGTAATGGTGTGGGGGATGTTTTCCTGGCACACTTTAGGCCCCTTAGTGCCAATTGGGCATCGTTTAAATGCCACGGCCTACCTGAGCATTGTTTCTGACCATGTCCATCCCTTTATGGCCACCATGTACCCATCCTCTGATGGCTACTTCCACCATGTCACAAAGCTCTAATCATTTCAAATTGGTTTCTTGAACATGACAATGAGTTCACTGTACTAAAATGGCCTCCACAGTCACCAGATCTCAACCCAATAGAGCATCTTTGGGATGTGGTGGAACGGGAGATTCGCATCATGGATGTGCAGCCGACAAATCTGCGGCAACTGTGTGATGCCATCATGTCAATATGGACCAAACTCCCTGAGGAATGCTTCCAGCACCTTGTTGAATCTATGCCACGAAGAATTGAGGCAGTTCTGAAGGCAAAAGGGGGTCCAACCCGTTACTAGCATGGGGTACCTAATAAAGTGGCCGGTGAGTGTATACAGCCCATTCTCATCCCTAGGCGTCATGAAACTGACGCCTTGGGAATCATTTTGACCATGCTTCAATATTCGACGCTTTAGGCACCCTTTAGCGTCAGTTACATGACGCGATCCTAGGGCGTCATCTCACTGACGCTTTACCTTTAACGTCAGTTAGATGACGCTATCTAATCCTAACCCTACCCCAGACCTAAACCTACCCGCGTCATCTAACTGACGTTAAAGGTAAAGCGTCAGTGAGATGACGCCCTAGGATCGCGTCATGTAACTGACGCTAAAGGGTGCCTAAAGCGTCGAATATTGAAGCATGGTCAAAATTGTCATTTTAGTGACGCCTTGGGATGAGAATGAGTTGATATATATATATATATATATATATATATATATATATATATATATATATATATGTTGTTTATAAAATTAAATATTTTTTAAATTATTCACATCCGAACCGGCTTACATCCCTCAAGGGTCCAGGACCCCTGTTTGAAAACCCCAGATTTAACAACTTTAGAGTTTTTTTTTATGTAAGTGCAAAACCAAATATAAGCTTAATTTTTCATTCTTTTAAACCTTCCAGACACCGTAATCCATTGTAAATACCTTACTCTAAACACTATAAAAAACAAAACAAATAGCCGAGGCTAAAAATTTTCTCTGGTAATTGACATTATGCAACTAATGCTGCCAACGGAGCTTCCCTCGTATTGAACCAGAACATTTGTGCAATAGCAAAGCCTACAATAGTTCTAATACAATTTGTCTGAAATAAACTGACAGCCCCAATTCTTATCATTCTTTTACTTTCGTGTGAGTGTGAGTGCTTTTTGCCTATGTAGATGTATTCCAAATAAATATAACTTTTTATTTTATCCCAGTTTCTCATCCATTGTCTGCATGGTAGAGATACCCGTTCGCCTCGAGCCCAAATCCTCTCTCCTGTCCATCATTCTCTCACCTTCATTCTCACTTTCTGCTTCTCCTTTGTCTCTCTTTCTCTCACGCTCTGACAGCGGCTATCAATGAGCAACCCCTGGTTAAACCCCAGTCTCCCTGATGAGGTGCATACTTGTTTGCTTATCCTTTGCTAAGCGGCTTGAGTTTTACTACACAACATGAATAGAACGATGGTTGCTGCATTGATAATGAGGGAGTGAAGAGAGTGTGTTTGGCCGCTGAGTTCTGGCTTGTTCCTCGCATTGTGTTAGCCAGGATATTGGGAGCTTACGCAGGCAGAATACATTATGCCAAAGTCATTAGCAGTGCTAGCCCTTGCTATGCAGGGGCATAAAACAGGCCTCAACGTTGCTAATGTCTCATCTAGCTTGCCACGCTGCGTTTATTGAGTGAAACCTCAATTATTGTTCATTATTAATATATTTCAAAGGGCTGAATGTGTCTTAGTAAACCAACGAAAGCCAGCGTTTACTCTTCTCCGGAGAGTTTGATGATGCACGTTTGGACAAACTTGGGTAGTTACTAATGTCTAAAAGTGTGTGAAACATGAATATTGACCTTTCCCGACAAACAAATCAGCAGAGCACATTTCATTAGCTAATTTAATAGCTATCTTAAGTATGTATCACATTATGCGATCGCAGTGCAAGGCAGGTAAACAGTGAACCTGATGACCCACAAGTAGTTGACTGACAGCTAGAATTCAGTTACAGTGATTTAGAAGTGAACTACGCTCCTGAAGCATCCCTCTAAAGGGCAAACTTGTGATGAGAATGAGATCATGGCATAACTTTTTTATTTAGTAAGATATAATTCGGTCCTGATTGCGATTGAAAAGGAGACGTTGTGGGGGGAAGGATTAGACGCTTTTGTAAGTTCGTAGAATTCGCTTTCATGCTTCATTGTGCTGTGAAAATAAACAGCCACATCGAAAGCAAAGCAGGTAATATCTGTCACGGCTCTGCTTTTAAATGACTAAAGACATCAGGGTCTTGCTTTCATTATAACAATCTAGAGGGTCCATATAGCACCAAAGCAGAGAAAGATGCATGCCTGGATACCATTTACTTTTATGCTTAAATCATATTGTGATATTGTCGGATTCTGTCGGCATTTTAAATAGTATTTGACAGACCTTGTAGATACAATGTTTGTAAACAATGTTTTTCCTCTTTGTCTCATTATGTGTAATTAACTTAACATACTAATTATAAATGAGAACAGACTTGTATGTATAAGCAATCTGTCAGAACAAGTAGTGATTGCAATTTTTAGCCTCGAATTACTCACAGAAGGCCGTATGTTTACTGCAGAATGCAAAAACTAATAGGCCTAATCTCTTTTTTCAGCTCTTCATGATCATTATCACAAAAGATATACTCATTCCATAAGAGGAGTGTTGTTTGTGTCCACAACATTTGATGTTTTAGGACATGCAATAGTTAACTACTATTAACTATGACTTTTGCCTCAAGAAACTCCTAATTACTGCTTATTAATAGTTAGGAAGGTAGTTGTTAAGGTTAGCTATGGGGTTGGATTAAGGGATGTAGAATATGGTCATGCAGAATAAGGCATTAATATGTGCTTTATAAGTACTAATAAACAGCCAATATCCTAGTAATATGCATGCTAATAAGCAACTAGTTAATAGTGAGACTTGGACCCTAAAATAAAGTGACCCTTTTTTCTAAATCTCTCACTCAGTCAAATCAAGATTTCATTGACCACGATAATGAAAAACATTATCTATGTCAGTCAAACTATTTTAACAGATATGCAGAAATATTCCTTTAGAAATGATCCTAACAGTGTGACCACGTCTGTAAAGGCATGGAGAAATCCTATTTCTCGTCGGCAAAGTTCATCAAGTTCATTCAAAATTTCTCTTCAAATGTTGATGAATTTCTGTTTTCCCTTTGTCCTTCAAAAAATTCAATTACTTTTTTAATACTTTTATAAATAATGCATAGATTTGCCATAGCAGTAGGATCAACTTTGTATAAAATGATTAGATTAAGAATTCTCATTTCTGGACTTAAAGTATTGAAAGGGGATTATTGCAAGGTGTTCGCAATTATCTTAAGAATTTGTGTGGTCTTATCCATAGTCTTACTGTACTTACTGGCAAAAGAAGTCCATCTGAGAAGTTAAGTAGAAGTAAAAGTTTTAGAAATCTGACCTTCTGAAGTACGCCATTGATTGCATTGATTTTAGAGAGTCGGGTTCATCGTTAGTGGGGAGAGAATGGAGACAAAATCAAATGTTAACGCCCCTTAAGAGTTTGTTGACCACAAAGCACTGATATACAGAGATGTCACACTATGGCTGCTTGTACTCCCTCTATGAAATCGGAAAGAAATCATCCTGAAGCTCTTGAGAAACAGTGTGACTAACCTCAAGCTAATTGGCCCTTAAGTCTCCCACTCTGACTTGAACGTTGATATGGCTATGGTACATCGGCCGTCAAACCGTGTCACGTACCTTTCACACTGCGAAAGCAAATGAGCCGAGTCCAATCTGACTGCATTTGTTTGTAGCCTATTTTCATGGTTTCCGGGGCTAATTTTGAGTTGATGCGCTGGTAAAGACGCAGGGGACCAGAAAAACACGACATTTTATATGCAAACGTAAGATGGCCATGATAGGTAATTACTGAATTGCTATTATAGAGAGTGGTTACTGGCAGGCAGGTATTGTGCTTTGCAATTGTAAATACCTGTCAAAGTGGCTGTGAGGGAAGACCTAAGGGGCCCACGCCTCTAGAATTTAGACTTCATTAATTGAAACCTGGAGGTTGCTTCTTCACATGCTGAGATGGACACCTGCTGCAGGAATGAAACTTGTGAAGGCTCATTAGTCTGCTATACTGAAAATATCTTCAGAGAGTGCACACCAGGAGCCTCAAACATCTTAACTACTGCCATACTTCTGTTTTCATAATTAGATAGACATATGAGATGATGTCACTCTGCATGATCTGCTAGGGAAGAACGAATAATAAACTAAGCCAAATATAATCTCTTGCAGGGGACGAAAACACACCGGGTTGGTTCTCTGCAGAGGATTATGGGAAGACCAAAGCTCAGTTTTGGTGTCCACTTCTGGCCTATCGCATGCCTGTTTTCCCCTCCAAAGCCCAGGAATGGAAGGTAAGTGACAACCAGTTACAAAAATTCAATTCAATTCAATTCAAATTTATTTGTATATCGCTTTTCACAATACATTTTGTTTCAAAGCAGCTTTACAAAAAGCATATTGTTTTCTGCTTTGATATCCAAAGGCTGTTCAGAAACTTCTCTTGAGCAGAAAAAAAGATTATAGTTTCTTTCCGGAAGACAAAGTACTTTTAGAAACTGCTGTATACCATGCAATCATTTTTTAAGCTAGGAAATTAAAGTCCCACAAAAGCAACCTCCACAGACAGAGTCTGACCATGGGATGATCTTATGGGAACATTGCCAGGATTGTGGAATTACAAGGTGACATGGAAGCTTTCCAGTCACACTTGTAGGATAGGGAGGTTGTGGATCAATAGGAGCTGTTAAGAGCGGCAAGCTCCTCATATATCAAATAGTGAACTCGGGTAAGAGACTAAAATGGCTTTAGAGTCAGTCAAAAAGGAATGAAATCAATTTTACTGTCTGGAAGATGATATTTCGGGCTATATTTGAAGACCTAACGAAGTTAGGTGACTTACCCCTGAATGGTGAGTATAGTTGCCAAATTACCCCAGTCACCATGTGAGGGTGTTATAAAGTGATCATGCAATTACGTTAATGACTGTTGGACACCCGAGAATAAATCAATCAAGCTGCATTAAATAAAGATTATTGCAACCCAATAGATGGGAAGTCAAGGCTGTCTGTAAAATTGCTTGATCATGTGTTTTTTGCAACAGCTTGGAGCTCTGACTAACAGATAGACGGTGTACTTTTTTTCACATCATTTCTTTCTGCTTAGGAGTTTTTTTTAAAATTGTGTTTCTCTTGTCTTAAACTTTAGAGTGCCATTGCTTTGTGAAAACCAACTGCAATGTTTCAGCCACCTTTAACAAGAATTGTTATCTGGGTTGGGGTAAATTGAGTTGTGCTCTAAAATTCTATAAACAATGTTAGTGGAAAACCTAGAAATATTTGTACATTTTAAAAGTGTGCATTCTAGGCCTGGGAAATTCATGAAGATTGCATTAAATACAAAAAATGTCCATGACCTTTTAGGATTTTAACAGTCACATGATTTTTTGTTATTCTCAGTTGCAATGTTTTTCTTTGGCTAGAAACACTCTTTGTGATAATATTATTATACAAATTATATATTTTTGATACTCAAAATATAGTAGATTTCAAAAGTCATGGAGATTTCTATAGTAATTCTTTTTTGTAGCTCTGCTTAATTTTTTTTGTCTATAAATTGTGAGTATAATCTTTGTAAAATAATAATTTAAAAAAACATGGAAAGGTTATGGAAAATCATATACATTTGTTTAAATGTGTGCATTTGGGCAGAATCCTGCCACCAAACATATAAGATCCGAGTGCCATCTAACGGTAGCATGAAATTTGGTCCGGTTATGGATGGGTGTCTTTAGTAAAGTCTTGTGCTTCTATGTCTTGTTGAAAAGAAGGAGGTTCTTGAGCAGGTGAGATGGATTTGAAGTGAGTGACTCATCCCTTAATCCAACCCCATGGGCAACCAGATGAGACACAGGGCCCACAGCCGATCTAAATTATCCAGATAGAAATGTATTGCCCATTTTTAATGGGAAAGTGCCCAAGCAACAATCGCTCGGCAAGATTGCCTAGCAACATTGCTCAAAAGGTTGCCCTGTGTATCATCACCTTAATAGTCATCCTGGCAGAGACGTCTTTTGTATTACTGTCAGTATATCTATGCAACCTTGCTCCTCAACTGCCACTACCACTACCACTGGGCACGGGCAGCATGTGTTAGCCAATGCCAAGGCCTCCAAACATCTTACTTTTAGGTTTTGGCATCTGATGCGCTTGGCAGAAGATTCATTGGTGCAGGGATTGGAAAGGGGGCTCTTGAAGAACAAGATCAAAAGAGAAAAGCCGTTGGGGACTCGTTGTCTCCAATAATAAAATAGAAGTTCTGTAGCATCGCACCATGAACAACTGATCTGCACACACACAGTTCTGCCGTTTTTGTAAGCCTGGTGGTGGGTGGACTTGTTAGGCGGAGGAGATAACCGTTATCAGGTCTTTCACTTCTGACGCGGATCTTTGGGCTCTCTATGTCCCACCCCTAAGCAGTCTACCAGGCAATATCTGACCCACTTCTAAACCTTACGAAAATCCTGTAATACTGCACAAACAGGCACTCATTTTTCTTGAAATGCAATACTAAGTGAAGAGGAACAATGTTTGTTTGCATATGCTTTCCTAAACGGTATGCTAATGTTAAACCTACCTTGATTGAACTCCTTGTCAAATCATATGTTATCTTAGGCAGTCAGATTGTAGATTTTCATCTTCAAGTCTCCATTTTGTTGACCCGTATGGCATTTTTATTCATGAGAATAGATTAGAGATACAAAGGTGATGAAAAGGGGGAATGGAATTGGCAAATGCCATGTGTGCTAACTGCCAGGCCACGGCTCTAACTGTGAAGTTCCGTTTTTATCTTTGTGAAGTTTAACATGCTAGATTGTGTTTCAGGAAATTAGGAGTTTGGTTTTCTCGTGTTTCCAGCCTGGTAGCGTTCACATGGATATTACGGAAGCCTGACTATCCCTTAACATGCTAAAAACCCTCCACTAAAAATCTACTTCAGCTGTAAAAGCTCTACGCTAGAAGTACTGAGAAGTATAAAGATGTCTCGTGGGAAGAGAAAGAAACAAAATCTGTTTCCCGATGAAGCATTAGGACGGAGAGAAGATGGCTCTTATTTGAGTGTTTTTTTCAATACCGTGGAGATCCCATACCGGGTGCTTTGAAGTGTGGGAAGACATGCTGGAAAGGGGATTTTTTTTGGAGGTATCAGGTTTGACTTTTCTTTTTTGGGATTAAGACTGGTGAAAATGGAGAAATGTTTTCTGAATCTCTTTTATAGTACTTAAACCCATGTCATGGTTCTGTCCAATGAAGCGTGCCTACAGAAACTAGGGCCGCCTTCAGCTTATTGTTGTGGATATGTGCCCAGTATACCTTTGGACAACTTGGATATTTTTGCAGTTTAAATGCTATTTTTGTGACTCATGGTTGTGTTTTGATTGTCAATATCTGCTCAAGTTGTTAAAAGCAGCTTTGGGCTTCAAGCAATAAGCTTAACGCATCACTGATCTTAAGCATAAACCAGTGTGGCTTGTTTGCATGCAGATTCTTCCAATTTTCTGGCCATGTGAAGCATAGAATACATTTGTGAACAGTTTGTAAGTTGTTTTTTAATAATATAATTTGGTATTTATTTACAGCTTCATCTTATACATTTTAATGGGAAATCAAATTGTTGGTAAAATTGGGCATTCAACAGCCACGCAATTTCCCACTTTGTTTGTATCCCTCTGACTGATATAGAGGGTTGATCTGTATAGAGTTTTAAAACTACTGTGAGTTCTGACATGGTCTGGACATACTTGTTTTGTTTCCTGTCTACATTAGTAGTGCTAGCGTACTGTTGCTTAAGAGTGGACCAATTGTTGTCCATAACTAATGATACCTCCATAACTCAATGATTGACTGCTGACGAGATGGCACAATGACATCTCTTGCAATAGTGAATGTGTGGATGGAGTCTATTTATAGCACCGTTTGGAGGGGGACTGATATATGACACCAATGACTTGAAGCTGTTACAGCAGGAAGAGGGAAAAAAAAAAGTACATCTCAAGCTGATGCTCAACACATGAGACCAAGACAGAAAGCACATGAAATATAGATCAGAAATGTCTTGGAGAAAGGTGCCCTTCCCCTTACATGGCAGCACTCTGTTGAATCTACTTTTTTTTTCTCCTTTGTTTTTTGTCAGCATGACATTTTTTTCCCATAGAATCAGACAGGGTTATGCCTTGTGCAATCTTTTCTGTGCATATATACGGTTTGCGTTTTTTTCTCTCTCTCTGCTTCCTTTCGATCCCTCTGTGAGTTCTGCATTTCATCTTCCTCCTCGTCTGTGAAGAACAGACGCCACAGCATGGATTAAAAGCTTTTTCCTTCACATCTCCGCTGGACTGCTGCGACACTTTCTCTCCTATGCTGCAGTATATCCTGCAAGTAAATACAAACACGTATACAGTACATTGAGCTGAATTTTAAAACCCCCAACCCGACTTACAGCTAAATCCATGAGGCTTCATCGAGGCTTTGCTATTAATTGCTGATAGCTTAACCTCATCTTCATCTGGCCCTTCATCGCCAAGGATCAGTATAATTAATTAAGAGCGCTTTTGTTTTTTGCTCAAATAGCTTTTCCCTAATCTGTCACTTGTTCATCTGCAGAGTTCAGGCAGGGTGAATGCATTGGGCCCTCAACACATTTGGATTATGTTGGACAGGAAGAGTAAATCTGATTTCCTTTTCTTTGTCAAGATCACAGAGCACCTGTCACCAGTGTTGATATACATCGCCATCTCGGTCAAGGCTTCAAATCGCTGCACTCCGCGGAAGCTCCCGACACACGACTGGAGCTTGTCACTGTCCATTGCACAGTTTGGTGACAGCACGCAACAGAAACGTCTCAAAATCTCTTGTTCTGAGGGTGACTTTGGTCATGTCTGGTGTTAAACATTGCAACCTTCAAAAGTAACGAGTGTTGCTCTTGACAGCAGTCATATTTTGAACAGGCAGTAGAGCATTACTGGCAGGGAAACTAAAATTTAAAGAAATAGTTCGCCCCAAAATTAAAATTATATAATTGAATTGTCTTCATGTCATTTCAAACCTGTATCCGTTTCTTTCTTTTGCAGAAAACAAATGAAAGTCAGTGGGGTCCAAAACAACATTAGACCAATTCACTTTTATTCTATGGACAAAAAACACTTCTCAGAATATCTCCTTTTATGTTCCACAAAAAAAGAGAAAGACAATTCAAACAGGTCTGGAACAACATGAGGGTAAGTAGATGATCCAAAAAGTGATCAAGAGTAGTGAGTGACTTTCTCTTTTTCTTTTGTTCTTAGATTAACATTAAT